ACGCGGGCAACAACCGCATCCGCTCGATCGAGGGCGACGTCATCCGCCGGCTGCGCAACCTCAAGGAGCTCTCGCTCCCGTCCAACAAGCTCACCCGCCTGCCCCGCGAGCTGCTCGACCTCGTCGACTCGCTCAAGGTGCTCGACGTCGAGGACAACCGCTTCTCCGAGCGCGACCTCACCACCACCGAGATCCTCACCTCCTTCACTAAGGCCAGGAGTGCGTTGCGCTACTCTCTACTCGCTTGCTCGCTACTCGCTTGCTTGGCCTGACCGTTGCGCGCGCCCTTGAATGGACAGGTCAGCCCAGCACACCGCAGGAGGAGCGACGGAAGGCCGGACGCCCGGCCTCGGCCTATGCGCCTCGCGATCCCGTACCCCCTCCCCCAACCCACTCCCACAACCATTTATTTATTTCTTCGATGGCGCTTCGGGTTCAGGGTTTCTTCGTGGAGGGCTACTCCAACCACCTGTACCGCCTCAAGGGCAAGGACAGGATCGTCATGCAGGCGGTACGCTCTGTCGTTTCTCCGTCTCTGCGACACATTTGCTGCATCTCTTTATGATGCTAGTCATCAGGTTTTTTCCCCCTCACGCGTGAGGGCTGGTTGACGATACTGCGCAGGTGGAGGTCAATATTTCCTCTCTGAATGAGGGCGACAGCTTCCTGCTCGACATTGGCCGCAAGCTGTTCGTGTGGATTGGCAGCCAGTCCAACCCCCGGTATGTCCGGCTCTTGCAGTCGTCAGTCCGCGCTGCGCTCTACATGCGCGCGTGTGTGCAGGTTGGCATTCCTGACATGACCGTGCCACACATTCCAGAGAGCGGGCCAAGGCCAAGTACATCGCGAACCTGCTGTCCGCCGAGGAGCTCGCCGGCATTCCCGTCATCGTCATCAACGGTACTCATACCCCTTAGGTGGCCATCTCGTGAATGCTGACGTCAGCTGATGTCCGCGCAAACTCGTACCAGAGGAGGACGACCCCGAGTTCTGGGAAACGATCGGCGGCCGTCGCGTGCCCATCAAGGGCGCCGACAAGGGCGGCGACGACGCCGAGATCGAGGCGCGGTTCGCCGACTCGATGGTCCTCTACAAGTACGCACTCGCGCGCTCGCAGCTGCTCAGCCTGATGGAGCGCCGAGGGCTCTTTGAATTGTTGTTGTTGTTATTGATCGGCTCCTCGAGGGCAGGTTCTCGCAGGGCCCGAGCGGTCCGCAGGTGGACGTGATCGAGGGCTTCGAGATGCCGTTCTACAAATCGCTGCTCAACCACCACTACTCCTACGTGCTCCACTGCCAGCAGAACATCTTCGTGTAGTGCGGCAAGGACTGCTCGTCCAAGGACCGCATTCGCGCCCACGCCAAGGCCGAGGTAACATTTCATTTGATTTCTTTCTCTTGCACCGAGCGCTCAGTGCTCGCACTATCAGCGCCGCGCGCCCACCACTTTGGCTCTTTTGGCTCCTCAACTTTTAAAATGTTATGTTTTGTTATATCAGGAAATTGCGAATCAGGTGGGCGAGAACGCGTTCGCCGACATCTCGTGGCAGATTGACGGCGCCGAGACCATCTTCTTCCGGGAGCAGTTTGTCGACTGGAACGACGAAGCCGACTGGCAACCCGGTTAGAGCTCCTTTCTCTCTCTCCTCTCGCCAACTTGTGTCTCTCACACCACTCCCACTTACTCGACTTCTTCAGAGCTGGACCGTGAACTCGGTCGTCAGGGCTCGCGCTACGACGGCGGCTACGGCGAACGAGACGACTACTCGGACTCGCGGGAGCGTGAACGGGAGCGCGAACGAGAGAGGGAGCGGACGCGGGGAGGCGACGACGCCTACTCGTCCTACTACGATGCGCCGGAGCCCTCCCACCGCACGAAGCGCGACAAGCCGGTGCGCAAGCCCGCCGCCCAGCCGCAGATGAACGAAGACGACGAGGGCGAAAATGAAGACGAAGAGGACACCAATAGGGCTACCAAGAAGAAGACGCGCAAGCAGATCCGAGAGGCCAAGCAGCAGCAGACCACGGCCGCCGTCGCCCCCGCGGCGGCGACGACGACAGGCAGCGGGCTGGTGAAGAACGTGGGCGCCGACGACTGGAAGAGGGAGATGGAGCGGAAGAAGGAGGCCGAGCGCGCCGACAGGGAGCGCCGGCAGGAGACCCTTCGCAAGCGGGAGGCCGAGCGCGCCGAGAGGGAGCGCCGCGAGCAGCAGGAGCGGCAGCAACGGGTCCAGGCCGAGCGCAAGCGCGAGGAGGAACGCCAGCAGCAGCAGCAGCGCGAGGAGCAGCAGCGCAGGCAGCGGGAGGCCGACGAGCAGCGACGACGGAAGGAGGAGGCCGAGCGGCAGAGCATGACCAAGCGCGAGCAGGAGCTGGACCGGAAGCGGCGCGACGAGGAGGACCGGCAGCGGCAGCGCGCCCAGGCCCAGCGCCAGCGCGAGGCCGAGGAGCAGCGCCAGAGGGAGGCCGAGCTCGAGGCGCGCAAGAGGCGCGATGACGAGGCCCGGCAGCAGGCCGCGGCCGGGTCCGTTAAGGCCGAGCCGCCGCGACCCACCGGAGGCAGTGTCATTGCCTCGCGCACCTCAGGGTACGCCCGCGTTATGGCTAACAGTTTTATTTCAAAGATATCTTATTATTTGTTGCTGACGTGGCTGTGGCCAATCGACTCGGTCAACAGAGGAAGCACCATCGCGCGGACGAAGCAGGTGGGCGGCCTTACGGTGGAGATCGACGTGTGCGAGAGCTGCCAGAAGCGCGTCTATCTCACGGAGAAGGTAGTACCCTCGCACCTCTCAACAACGACCACGACGAGTCGCGTGGCCGGCTTGTTGATGACCGTGGTGGTGCCCGGGTGTACTCACGGTTCTCTTTTATGCGCAGATATCGGTGGAGGGCAAGTCGTTCCACAAGAACTGCTTCCGCTGCACCCACTGCAATAACCCACTCAAGCCCGGCAACTATGCCTCCCTCCAGGGTACCTCTCCTCTTGTTGACTTCTTAATAGTGGTAATAATATTACTTAAATAATAATAATAATGATAATCGCTTCATCAGGCAAGCCGTACTGTAAGCCGCATTTCAAGCAGCTGTTCCAGCTCAAGGGCAACTACTCGAGCGGCTTCGGCGAGCTCACGCCCGAGCAGGCCTGGAAGAGCAAGAACGACGCGCCGGCCACGGCCACCATCCCGACCACCATTCCGGCCACCAAGGACGAGCCCAAGGGCAAGGCCAAGGCCGCCACCTCCGGCGCCGCCTCGACCAGCGCGAGCATCACCGTGAAGCCGCCCGCCTCGGCCTCTGCCGCCTCCGTACGCGCCGTCGCCGTCGAAATCGCGACTCACCCGCCGGCCAAGATTTACGACGACACCGTCCTCCGCCTCGCCCGCGACTTCCCCGGTACACCGCCCACTCCCTCCCACTTCTCCATTTTCTTTCCCCCCCACCCGGTCGTCTTCGTTCTTTGCTTCTGCCAACTTTCGTTTTTTTGAAACGTCGGTTCGTCGAACAACTATGTCGACAAATATTAGTGCTTCCAGGATTGCTTGCCTTTATTTTTTTCGATGAATTGCGCTACTGCTCGACGGTGCGATAAAGGCCGTGGAAGAGCGAGGCAATGAAGCAAGATATACTGGCTACTGAGAGAGAACGAACGGAAGAGGGAGGAGAGGAGGATATATAGACACATACAACATACATATAGATTTGCACATATAGAGCCTCACGATGGTGAATTGGTTCGGCACAGAGCTCGGCATGGACCGAGTCGAGGAGGCGGTGAACCTGTTCGACAAGTGGGACACGCGCGGATCGGGCCGGCTCAACAAGGCGCAGTTCCTGCGGCTCATGCAGCAGGTCATCGGCGCCAACAAGTTCGCGCGCGGCCCCATCTACCAGCGACTCGTGGAGCTCTCGTTCGACTATGTCGACACCGGCAAGAAGGGATCGCTCGACAAGCGCCAGTTCCTCATCAGCTACAACCTCCTCTTCTCCAACGAGCGCAAGCAGATGGCCCTCCTCCTCACCAAGGACTTCAAGGGTACAACGACCACGCACGCACGCACACGCACGCACACGCACGCACGCACGCACCGAGTACTTATGGCTGACTTTTTGCGTCGAATCACAGGACTTACTGTGGAGGAGATCGAGGACGGCCTCAAGAAGTTCGAGCAGCAGGAGAAGGTCGACATGGACGAGTTCTACCAGCTCAAGGAGGTGAGTACCCACAGACACCGAATCCGATCGATTGCACCCTGTTTCGAACGTTGTGTGCTCACCACCATCATCATCGTTGTTCTCTGCTTCTTCGTCTTCGTTCAGGAGCTGGACGACAACTTGAAGCGAATTCTGAAGCAGATCCTCAACATCGTGGAGCCGGGCGCAGCCGACACCAAGATCGTGTCCGCCTTGAAGACCTCGCTCGAGTGTCTTCCCGTCGGTGCGCTTTGCTCACCACCCTACATGTCACCCCGATATATGTCCGAGCCTGACAAGTGCTCGTGGTTGGTTGGTTGGCTGGCTGTGAACGTTGCGTAGAGGAAGTCAAGCCCTCGACGCCAGTCACTGCGACCGCCGCCACCTCGACGGCCCCTCGTCCCGTCGGACAGGCGCCTCCCTCGCAGCGAGTCGCCACCATCCGTG